GGTATCATAATTATGCTGGCCTCATAGAAGGAGTTAAGGAGGAGTCCTTCCTTTTCAATTTTTTGGAATTGTTTCAGTAGAAAATGGTACCAGATCTTGTTTGTACATTTGGTAGAATTTGTCTGTAGATGTTGATTTGTGATTCATCTTGTCATGGGTTTTTTTTTTGTTTGGTTGGTTTTTGGTTGGTAGAGTATGACTGATTCAATTTAGGAGCTCATTGCTGGTCTTTTCCAAGATTCAATTTCTTCCTGTCTCAATCTTGGGAGGTTGTATTTGTCCAGGAATTCATCCATTTCCTTTAGATTTTCTATTTTTATGTGGATAGAGCTGTTCATAATATTCTTTAATGGTTATTGGTATCTCTGTGAAGTCAGTGGTAACATCCTCTTTGTCATTTCTAATTGTGTTTATTTGTTCTCTCTTTTCTTATTTATTGGTCTAGCTAGTGGTCTATCTATTTTATTAAAATTTTCAAAAAACAACTCTTGTATTTCTTGATCTTTTGATTTTTTTATTGTCTCAATTTCTTTCAGTTCAGCTCTAATTTTGGTTATATTAATTATTTTTAAAATTTTTTATGTTGGTTTTCAGTTTTCTCTTGCATCCCATTGAACAGCTTTATGATTCACATTTTGAATTATTTGTCTGGTATTTAAATTATTTCATTTTAGTTTGAATCTATTGGTAGAGAGTTAGCGTGATCTTTTCAGGGTGTTATAAAATTCTTGTGTTTTTTTTCCATATTGCCAGAATTATTTTTTTCTCATTCCTTCTCATCTGGGTAGATTATTTACTCTTATTATTATTGAATTTATATTTTACTTCACTAGATTTTTCCTTTTTGGGAATGTGACTTTAATATGTTTAGTTCATGGTCACCTATCTTTGGTTCTGTGTGCCTTCAGCAGAAAAGACTGTGAATCCTTGGCTACAGAGAACCTTTGTGTGATGACATTCTCAGATGACGATTGTAGTAGTTATGTACTTATTGTGAGCAGGTTCACTCTCTCTTGTGAGGCCAGAATTGCAGAGGTCTCATGAAGCTTACAATGTTTCCCAATGGTGCGCACTTTCTTTTCCCAATTTTTTTTTTGCACTAGGTTGAACAGTTCAGTCTTTTGACCATTAAGAGGTATCCATGGATGAAAACCAGCTGCAGCTGAAGCAGATGGGTACATACAAGACCACAATGGTGGACAAAAGTCCCGTTTTTGACAGAAGTGGCTGTGGGGGCTTCCAGTGAAATACACTGTGGTCTTTGCAGGGTGGAGTGAGGGAGCCACCTCAGCTCTGCTACCAGGCAAGCAGGAAAGTAATCTGCCTCCCTATCATGTTCCTATCCCAGTGATCTGGATATTCCAATCAGACAGGCACCTTTGTCCACCTGCAGAAATGCTAACATTCTATGTAAAGAGGCAGTAAAACTCTACCCTTCATGCAAACCTAAGCCCAGAGGGCACTTCTCCCACGAAGATGCAGTTACCTCAAAGTGCCCCAGAAAGGCAGTCAACAGGTGCAACCATGCTGATCTCCCATGGAAGAAGCCCCAGCTGTGACTGCAGTGGTGAGTGAGAGGGAGGAGAAGTCTCCTGCTCTAAGTACCTTCCTGAGCACTGAACCTGCTTGACTACTGGGGTAGAACTGAAGTCTTTACCCACTGAGCTCAACACTGTGGCTTTGCTTCTGCTGAAAAGAAACTTCCCATAAGCAGGAAGTTCTGGAACACAGAAAAGCCTGCACTTTTGTTTCTTTTGTTCCATGCGGCACTCCCTTGTCTTATACTCCCTCTTCCCCTAGGAGTACCAATCTCCCAAGGGCAAGACTATTGTGAATCCTGCTGCTCCTCTGCATCTAGCTGCCTTGTGGGGATGCTGCAATCTAAGCTGGTGCTGATGAATGTCTGCAAGGGATCCAGTAATGAGAAGACACAAGGGCTGGAGGTCTCTAAGCAGAACAAAGTCCCATGATGCATGCACACCCAGTATAGTGCCCACTAGTACAGCTTGGGTCCAGGAAGAAAGGGAAAGAAACCTGCACGTGCAAGGTAATGCCCTAAGAAGTGTTCAAATCACAGCACACTCCTGTACTTGTGCTTGTGGGGGCAAAGAAGCTCTTTTTGAGTTTGGATACCAGCAGTCAAGAGCTAGAGAGGCTAAAATCTTTCCCACTTACCTTTTCCACAGAATACGAAGTCACTCAGGGTTTGAACTCTGCCAGCTTCTTCTTTCTTTGTGTGTGTGTCATAGAGTCTTCCAATTAACTTTCTGATAGTTTCCAGCACTCTCCCCTTAGCACTCTGCTTGGGCTATGATTATTCACTTCTAGTATAGGTTCTTCCTTCTGAGGATAATTGGTCACCAGCATCTCTAGTTAGTCACCTGGATAAGCTATCCAATGCCTCAGGCTATGGACAAGTCTGGAGGACTTGTAGTGGCTTGAGCTCTGCTCTTAGCTCCAGAAGAGGATAATGTAATGTGGAGCTGCACTGGGCTGACCTGTCCTCTGGTCTCCCAGTGGCAGGTGCATGCATCTCCTCAGATGGATGGTGCAGGGGAGTGGCATAAACTCTATAAGATGCCATTAGTTGTAAATACCCTAAATGTGGTGGCTTTCTCAGTTACTAGCTGTAGTAGTAATATACTGGACACATAAATAAGCTTAAGGCCCTGAGTAGCCAGGGTAGTGTGGGCAATGGTGTTAGCTGAGGTTGCACAAAATACTTTTCATTCCTGAGCGCTGTGTTACTGTGTCAGTAGATGTTGTAATGGGCTGTGTCAGGTGACCTCTGGCCAAGAGATGGTGCTTGCAGAAGAGGGTCAGGCAGTGGTGGTTGTGGAATTTATGCTTGGCTTATGCTACCCAAGTGAAGTACTCAGATCTTCCAAGTAATGGGTGGGGCCATGAGCCTCCCAATAGTCCTTTTCATTGTGTTATGCTAAAAAGGCCCGTTGAGGGGCAAAGTTAGATGAGTGAGGAAAGTCCACATTCTGGCTACCCACGTGTGGACACAAGCCAATGGGGATTGGAACGCAGTTTCCTGTGTACTGGGGTAGTGTTCCAGGGAGGAGTTAAACTGCCTCTGCTGCACAAAAGAATTGGCATGAGAGAGGGGTGTAACAAGCCGCAGTGAGGCATGCCCTGCTCTTCTGTCCTTGATATGGTGGATCTCACACCCACAGACTTCTGGCAACAGCTAGCTGGGTCTTGGGCAGTTCTGGGCTTACAATGTAAAACTTTCCTAGGCCACAAGCCTTCCCACTTGGGAAAAAGATGGCAGCTTTCAGGCCACGTCCCTCCCATTTGCCCACAAAACAAGGACACCCAGCACTCACACCCATGGCAAGAGCATGCTTCCTGCTCACCTTCAATTATGTTTAAAGGAATCCATCACCACTCTAGATTAGATTGCACATCTCAGTCAGAAGCTGCTGCTAACCTGTGGCCATCACTTGAGTTAGCTGGCAGAATTCCATGAGGTCCCCTATGAGTTAGGATCAGGAATATCTTCCTTCTGTCTTTGCTGGGCTAAGAGAGTGCTCACAAAACACTTCTTGATGCCACTCCTTCTCATGTAGTCCTCACTACTCACCAAATAACCTTCAACACTGGGTAGAGTTAAGGCACTCACTCCCTCATGGCCTGGATTTCCTGGCTACCTAGTGAGAATAAGTATCATGCAGACAGTTTCTCCCCATTTCACACTCTAGAAACATAGTTTTCTGCCTCACTCAAGGTAGAGATTGCTGCCTACCTCTCCGTGCAATGTCTGAAGTTTCTTTCATTTTTTATGTTAGGCACCTGAGTTTCTTCTCCAATGAAAGTTTACAATGTGAATATTCACACTCTATTTTACTCTTTCTAAGTGGATAAGGCACATTAATAAAACCCCAATAAACCATCTTGAAGAAAAAACCATTTTAACCATATTTCATTGTACAGTTCAGTGGCACTAATTACCTTCACAACACTGTGAAACCATCATTACCATCTATTTGAAAACTTTTCACCCCAAATGGGAACTCATAATTGGTAGTATGGGATGTAGAAGGCAGAACAGAGGGTTTAGACTTCCAACTGAGAAGGCATTTAAAGTTTGTCCTTGTGGCAAACTCTGCACCAAAGGCATAATAATGTTAGGTAAAAATAGAAATAATGAAAATAAAAGGCACATTAAGGCCAAAAAACAAACAAACAAACAAGAAAATGTTCTCTATGGATCATTAATAAAGAGAAAGAAACACCAATAAGTAAAGCTAAAGCAATGACCTGCTGCTCTCTGAACTTAAAATCAGGAAGAGGATTTAGAAATTGATCTCCCACAGGGAAACTACACTTTACAAATATAGTTTACCCGCCTGTAGGCTTTCTCTGGCATTTTAAACCCTGTTTGTCACCCATGAATTAAGTCAGAAATGTCAAGGAATTAATGTTTTTCAGGGTAGCCCTCAATGAATATATGACAGAAACTGGTGAATAAATACTTCAGCTCCCTTAATTCTTCAGGGGTTTAAGTCTGAGGTGCATATTTCACACTAGGTTTTAGTATTCCTCAGAAGAATTATGTTTTATTTACCTGCAGTGAAGTGATAATTTGCTTCACAATAAACCCTTTTAGCTACTTTCCCTTTTCTACCTCAACTTTTTCTTCCTTTTGCAGTGTTTTTAAAATATTACTTCCAAAATAAACAATTTAAACTGGAATCTTTGCTTTAAAGTTTGGTTCTAGAAAAGCCCAAACTAAGACACACTGTTATAGACTGAAGATGCCAGGGAGCCAAGTAAAGGTAAGTAACTCTATACCGCTCCCTAATTGCTAGAAAGGGAGAGGTATAGAGAAGAAAAAAAAAAGAGAAAAAGTATCTCCAATTCAAAATGCTAATAGTCTTAAAAGACTTTAAAGTATGTGTGTTTAGGAGACTCCTCGAGATAAATGAATAATTAAAATGTATAATAATAACAAAACAAGTCAGGAACAAAACAAGGAGGATGTGAATATTAATCTATTATAAATATTAGAAATGAAATTTTGGTAATTATAATACAAGTATTAATGTACAGGTAAACATTTGACTAGACCTTGAAGAGAGAATTATAAAACTGGAAGGTAGTACTGAGGAATTCACCCATTATGCAGGACAGAAGAAAATCCTTAAGGAATATGAAAATGGGATTAAAAAGATGATACACAAATACCTTCCAAGATGGCTGAATAGGAACAGCTCCGGTCTGCAGCTCCCAGCGTGATTGACACAGAAGATGGATGATTTCTGCATTTCCAACTGAGGTACCTGGTTTGTCTCACTGGGACTCATTGGACAGTGAGTGCAGCTCATGGATGGCTAGCTGAAGCAGAGTGGGGCATCTTCTCACCCTGGAAGCACAAGGGGTCGGGGTATTTCCCTTTCCTAGCTAAGGGAAGCCTTGGCAGACTACCTGGAAAAACGGGACACTCCCCACCCAAATACTGTGCTTTTCCCTAGGTCTTAGCAATCTGCAGACAAAGTGATTCTCTCCCGTGCCTGGATTGGTGGATCCCATGCCCATGGAGCATTGCTCACTGCTAGTGCAGCAGTCTGAGATCAATCTGTGAGTTTGCAGCTTGACTAGGGGAGGGGCATGCACCATTGCTGAGGCTTGAGTAGATAAACAAAGCAGCCAGGAAGCTTGAAATGGGCAGAGCCCACCACAGCTCAACAAGGCCTACTGCCTCTAGACTCCACCTCTGTGGGCAGGGCATAGCTGAACAAAAGGCAACAGACAACTTCTGCAGACTTAAACGTCCCTTTCTGATAGCCATGAAGGGAGCAGTGGTTCTCCCAGCACAGCATTTGAGCTCTGAAAATGGACAGAGTGCCTACTCAAGTGGGTCCCTGGCCCCAAGTAGCCTAACTGGGAGACACCTCCCAGTAGGGGCTCACAGACACCTCATATAAGTGGCTGCCCCTCTGGGACAAAGCTTCCAGAGGAAGGATCTGGCAACAATATTTGCTGTTCTGCAGCCTCCAATGTTGATACCCAGGCAAATAGGGTCTGGAGTGGAACTCCAACAAACTCCAACAGACCTGCCACTGAGGGACCTGTTAGAAGGAAAACTAATGAACAGGAAGGAGTGCATCAACATCAATAAAAAGGTCATCTTCACCAAAACCCATCTGTAGGTCACCAACATCAAAGACCAAAAATTGATAAAACCACAAAGATGGGGAGAAACCAGAGCAGAAAAGCTGAAGGTTCTAAAAATAAGAGTGTCTCTTCTTCTCCAAAGGATTGCAGCTCCTCACCAGCAATGGTACAAAGCTGGATGGAGAATGACTTTGATGAGTTGACAGAAGAAGGCTTCAGAAGATCGATAATAACAAACTTCTCCAAGCTAAAGGAGGATGTTCGAACCCATCACAAAGAAGCTAAAAACCTTGAAAAAGGATTAGACGAATGGCTAAAGAATAAACACTGTAGAGAAGACCTTAAATGACCAGATAGTGCTGAAAACCATAGCACAAGAACTTCGTGACACATGCAAAAGCTTCAGTAGCTGATTCGATCAAGTGGAAGAAAGGGTATCAGTGATTGAAGATCAAATTAATGAAATAAATTGAGAAAACAAGGTTAGAGAAAAAAGAGTAAAAAGAAAGGAACAAAGCCTCCAAGAAATATAGGACTATGTGCAAAGACCAAATCTACGTTTTATTAATGTACTTGACAGTGATGGGGAGAATGGAACCAAGTTGAAAAACATTCTTCAGGATATTATCCGGGAGAGCTTCCCCAACCTAGCAAGTCAGGCCAACATTCAAATTCAGGAAATACAGAGAACACCACAAAGATACTCCTCAAGAAGAGCAACTACAAGACACATAATTGTCAGATTCACCAAGGTTGAAACGAAGGAAAAAGGGTTAAGGGCAGCTAGAGAGAAATATCGAGTAACTCACAAAGGGAAGCCCATCAGACTAACAGAGGGTCTCTTGGCAGAAACCCTTCAAGCCAGAAGAGAGTAGGAGCCAATATTCAACCTTCTTAAAGAAAAGAATTTTCAACCCAGAATTTCATATCCAGCCAAACTAAGCTTCATAAGTGAAGGAGAAATAAAATCCTTTACAGAAAAGCAAATGCTTAGAGATTTTGTCACTACCAGGTCTGCCTTACAAGAGCTCCTGAAGGAAGCATTAAACAGGGAAAGAAACAACCAGTACCAGCCACTGCAAAAACATGCCAAATTGTAAAGACCATCGATGCTAGGAAGAAACTGCATCAACTAATGGGTAAAATAACCAGCAAACATCATAATGACAAGAACAAATTCACACATAACAATATCAACCTTAAATGTAAAAGGGCTAAATGCCCCAATTAAAAGACACAGACTGGCAAATTGGATAAAGAGTAAAGACCCATTTGTGTGCTGTATTCAGGAGACCCTTCCCACGTGCAGAGATGTACATAGGCTCAAAATAAAGGGATGGAGGAAGATCTACCAAGCAAATGGAAAAAAAAAAAAAAAAAAAAAACAGGAGTTGCAATCCTACTCTCTGATAAGACAGATTTTAAACCAACAAAGATGAAAAGAGGCAAAGAAGTACATTGCATAATGGTAAAGGAATCAATTCAACAAGAAGAGCTAACTATCCTAAATACATATGCACCCAATACAGGAACACCCAGATTCATAAAGCAAGCCCTTAGAGATCTACAAAGAGACTTAGATTCCCATACATAATAGTGGGAGACTTTATCCATGACTTCAACTCAGCTCTGCATCAAGCAGACCTAATAGACACCTACAGAACTCTCCATCCAAAATCAACACTATATATATTCTTCTCAGCACCACATCGCACTTACTCTAAAATTGACCACATAATTGGAAGTAAAACACTCCTCAGCAAATGTAAAAGAACAGAAATCACAACAACTGTCTCTCAGAACACAGTGAAATCAAATTAGAGCTCAGGATTAAGAAACTCACTCAAAACCACACAGCTACATGGATACTGAGCAATTTGCTCCTGAATGACTACTGGGAAAGTAACGAACTGAAGGCAGAAATAAGGATGTTCTTTGAAACCAATGAGAACAAAGACAAAACATACCAGAATCTCTGGGACACATTTAAAACAATGTATAGAGGGAAATTTATAGCACTAAATGCCCACAAGAGAAAGCAGGAAACATCTAAAATTGGCACCTTAACATCACAATTAAAAGAAGTAGAGAAGCAAGAGCAAACAACTTCAAAAGCTAGCAGAAGGCAAGAAATAACTAAGATCAGAGAAGAACTGAAAGACATAGAGACAGAAAAAACCCTTCAAAATGTCAATGAATCCAGGACCTGGTTTTGTGAAATGATCAACAAAATTGATAGACCACTAGCAAAGTTAATAAGGAAGAAAAGAGAGAAGAATCAAACAGGCGCAATAAAAAATGATAAAGGAAATATCACCACCGATCCCACGGAAATACAAACTACCATTAGAGACTACTATAGACACCTCTATGCAAATAAACTAGAAAATCTAGAAAAAATGGATAAATTCCTGGACACACACACTCTCCCAGGACAACCAGGAAGAAGTTGAATCTCTGAATAGACCAGTAACAGGCTCTGAAATTGAGGCAACAGTAGCCTACCAGCCAAAAAAAAGTGAAGGACCAGATGGATCCACAGCTGAATTCTACCAGAGGTACAAGGAGGAGCTGGTACCATTGCTTCCGAAACTATTCCAATCAATAGAAAAAGAGGGAATCCTCCCTAACTCATTTTATGAGACCAACATCATCCTGATACCAATACCTGGCAAAGACACACACAAAAAAGAGAAATTTAAACCAATGTACTTGATGAACATTGATGCAAAAATCCTCAATAAAATACTGGCTAACCAAATCCAGCAACACATCAAAAAGCTTATCCAACACAATCAAGTAGGCGTCATCCCTGGGATGCAAGGCTGGTTGAATATACACAAATCAATAAACGCATTCCATCACATAAACAGAACCAAAGACAAAAACCACAAGATTATCTCAATAGATGCAGAAAAGTCCTTCAACAAAATTCAACAGTGTTTCATGCTAAAAATTCTCAATGAATTAGGTATTGATGGAATGTATCTCAAAATAATAAAGCTATTTATGACAAACCCACAGCTGATATCATACTGAATGGACAAAAACTAGAAGCATTCCTTTTGAAAACCAGCACAAGACAAGGATGCCTTATCTCACCACTCCTATTCAACATAGTGTTGGAAGTTCTGGCAAGGGAAATCAGGCAAGAGAAAGAAATAAAGAGTATTCAATTAGAAAAGGAGGAAGTCAAATTGTCCCTGTTTGCAGATGACATGATTGTGCATTTAGAAAACCCCCTTGTCTAAGCCCAAAATCTCCTTAAGCTGATAAATAACTTCAGCAAAGTCTCAGGATACAAAATCAATATGCAAAAATCACACGCATTCCTACTCACCATTAACAGACAAACAGAGAGCTAAATAATGAGTGAAATCCCATTCACAATTGCTACAAAGAGAATAAAACACATAGAAATTCAGCTTACAAGAGATGTAAAAGACCTCTTCAAGGAGAACTACAAACCACTGCTCAATGAAATAAAAGAGGACACAAACAAATGGAAGAATATTCCATGATCCTGGATAGGAAGAATCAGTATCAAGAAAATGGCCATACTGCCCAAGGTAATTTATAGATTCGATGCTATCCCCATCAATCTCCCAATGACTTTCTTCACAGAATTGGAAAAAAAACAACTACTTTAAAGTTCATATGGAACCAAAAATGAGCCCACTTTGTCAAGGCAATCCTAAGAAAAAAGAACAAAGCTGGAGGCATCACACTACCTGACTTCAAACTATACTACAAGGTTATGGTAACTGAAACAGCACTGTACTGGTATCAAAACAGATATATAGACCAAAGGAACAGAACAGAGCCCTCAAATAATGCCACACATCTACAACCATCTGATCTTTGACAAACCTGAGAAAAACAAGCAATGGGGAAAGGATTCCCTATTTAATAAATAGTGCTCGGAAAAGTGGCTAGCCATACGTAGGAAGCTGAAACTGGATCTCTTTCTTACACCTTACACAAAAATTAGTTCAAGATGGATTAAAGACAATTTTAAAATTAAAGACTATTTTAAAAGGAAGATAAATGAACCAATAATTTTATATGATTGATAATATAGGGTAAAAATATATAAAGCTAAAATACACATAATTGAACGTGGAAACTGATATACCTATAACCAAAGTAGGATAATTTAAAATACCTCTACCAAAAATCAATAGATCAAGCATGTCAACAATTAGGATGTAAAAGATTTAAATGTGGGGGGCAGAGCAAGATGGCCAA